CACTCGACAAAAAAAAAAAAAAAAAAATAAATCGAGTGCAATTGAAGCCGCGATAGAGGAGAATTCGTCAGAGGAATTGATCCGTTTCTCTGTTAGCTCTCAAACGGTATCTTGCCGTCGTCAGGTGTACCGCGCCTATCATAGCTTATCATAGACTGCTGAAATTTTGTACTTGGTGTTTCAAACGTGGATAGAACGGATGTTGAACCGTGTTAAAAAAATCTTTAAACGTCGTGACTGTATAGTAAAGTTAATTGAAAAATTCTGAAACTCAAATATTACAGTTCAACCCTAACTGATCCAGTTACTACGCGATGATACCGGTTGAGAGTTAATTTGAGTTTAGTCGTAACAAAAAAAAAAGAAAAAAAAAAAGTAAAATAAAATAAAATAAAATAATAAAAAGAGGAAAGAAAGGGAAAACGAAGAGAGAACGGGGTGAAAGAGTTCGCGACGAAAATCGCGACATTGGCGACGAGAAGAAAAGAAACTATGGCTGTGCAAGTGAACATTATGAGTGTAGTTACATAGGTGTAGGTGTTACCTAGGATCTAGAGTTAGCTGATCGTAGGATAAGGAGCACGTTTAGGGCGTTTTGTTTCTTTTTTTTTTTTTTTTTACAGCTCGGACGAGCGACGGCTGCCCGGTTTCCCCGCTCTTGTACATTACCGAACTAAATAACAAAACAAGAAAAAAAAAAAGTACTATTATTAATATCTCTTTATATATTAATATATACAAAGGATTAATCATGGATATATATGTATATACACACACGGTATATGTATATATCTACCTTCGTATGAACATAAATATGAATACAAATATAAATATATATATACACACACATTTTGTTATTTTTCTCGGGGGATAATGTAAAAAAAAAGAAAGATACTGTAATAATTGTAAATCTCGCGCGCGCAAAGGTGGTGAGAATCGTGGTGTACTAGCTGAACGTGTGTTCTACTCGTCATTCGAACTAGCAGAAGAGAAAGGAAAAAAAGGGAGAGGGAGAAAAGGGAAAGAAAACGAGTAGCATTGATGATAATTGGAGGAGAACTTTTAAAATTAACTTTAAAATTAAGTGAGATGGGAAGGAAAGGAAAATCGGACTGAAAGTTGTGATTTTGCACGGCTCGCGCGCGCCTGTGTGTATATATATATATATAGGAAAAAGGGAGGAAGCCAGGAGAAAAAAAAAGGGGGGGAAGAGAAAAGAAAGAGGAAACAATATATATATATATAAATATGATAGATTGAATCACGCGTGGGTGAGAAAGGCGTGGTAGGAGATTTTAGGGGGGGAAGCAGAAAGGAAGAAAGGGAAAGAAAGAAAACGAAATTGAAGAATCGTTGAACTGTTGCATTTTCGCGTGCGTGTGAGACCTCTCTAGAAAAAAAAAAAAAAAAAGAAAAAAAAGGAACGAGAGCAACGTGCGAATGAGAGGGAGAGAAAGAGAGAAAGAATGAGAGTTTTAGCGTTGTAGAGATGCGTAAAGAAAGAAGAAGAAAAAGAAAAATTAAACGAAGAGAATATACTACGTGTTGGTATATGCGCGTCAGATGAAAAAGAAGAAGGAACCAATTCGACGCGAAATGTCCTTCCTTTGCCCTCCCTTCCTCCCCCCCCCTTCCTCCTCCTCCTCTTCCACCCCCACGTGCTCATGCACTTCCCTAGTGGTCCTCGAAAAGAAGGAAACAGCGCGTCTCGCGTCCCCTTTCGTTCTTTTTCACTTTCGTTACAGTCCCTCCGGCACTCCGTTTCTTTCTGCTTCCTTTCCCCATTTTTCCGTTCCTTCGTTTAGACTTCGTTGCGACACTCTATCATGCACACGACACATGCAGAAGACAAACGAAACTATAGCAAACGTAAAAATAAATAAAAATGATGAACCATGAGAATCGAAAGTCCATAGAGAGGCGAAAAGACAGTCGAGGAAACCGCCTAGCCAGACGTAACCTATATAGCTAGACGAAATGTTCGTAGTGGGTATATTCGACGAAACGGTCCAATTAGCGTAGCCACGAACAGCGAGAATCTTCTGTGTGTCTCGTCGTCGACTGGGAACGCCGGCCACGTCAATGACGAGGAACGAGGCCAGCCCGATCGGCCAGCTATATCTCTCCATCGGTCTGTCTTTCACACGTGAAGACGCGTGACGCAATGTTCGAGATGTTGGTCATGAACGATCATTCTCGGCCGTTGCGATTAAAGATGGAATTCCCTTAGAAGCGTTGGACGTCGCATCGAAGAGTCAGATGCTTTAGCGATTTTTTTCAGCCACACGTATGTACGTATCGCGTTAGAGATTTTCTATCGTGATACGTTCAACGCGAATTGTACTTGCGAAAGGAGAGAAGAAAAGAAAGAAAGGACCTTTAAATAATAGGTCGTATTCGCAGTGGACGCCGACGTTTCGAAGAACTGTAGTTCCGACGAATGACGGGAGTCACCTGTTTCTAAAATCTACGTACAGAAATTGTGTATTTGATAGTCGTTGGAAAACGCATCCGCTGTGATCAATGGTCTTTTGTTCGACGCGCACATCCAACGCTTATGGGAGATAACACGTTTATCGAGGGACTATCGCGAAACCTCATTTACGTTAGACTAGGAATAAGACGAGTGGACCACTTCTGATCGAACAATTTCAAATCTTTTCCACTTGGTTCCACCCTTTCGTGTAACTACAGTTACACGCGTTAAAATAATTACCGTCAATTCTGAAGTTTACTGGAGCATGACACTTGTTACACAGTTACCTCGTAATTTCTTGTTTGATAGAACCGTTTCGTAAATTTAATTAATCTTAGCTCAACACGAAGCAACGTTGCGTTCTTGCTGCAGTAGAATTGCAGTAACGAAAGGGTTAACTGGCTGTGCTTATATAGGTGAAGGTTTCGGTCAAAAATTGTCTAACGTGAACGAGGTTCAAGCGTCGTTACGGCGGTCGATGAGAGGCAGACGATTCGCGAGAAACGTGGCACGCTGTGCGGTACTACTCTTGGTCTAAGATCGAACGATCTGTCGCGTTATCAGTTACATTTTCGGCTCCGACGAACGTATTTACAATAGGCGCACTATCAACGAGAAGAATAGGGGGAAGAAAACGTCAAGGGAACCAAAAAGGAACAAAAATGTAAATGAAAAAAAAAAAAGAATAACGAGAACGACGAAGGAAATTGTGCACGAATAGGTACACACATAGGGAAATCGACCGAGCGAACAAAAGAGAAATTAAACTTGTAGACCATGCCGATACAAACTAAGGACTAACGATCATAGGGCGTAATCGATTTTATTACCGAGATAAATAAATGTGTGTGTGTGTGTGAGAGAGAGAGAGAGAAAGAGAAAGAGAGAGAGAGAGAGAGAGAAAGAGGTAAAAATAGTTAATAATAATGATAACGGGGAATTAAAAAGAAAAAAAAAAGATAATTATTCTTACTACTTCTTATTGTTACTACGATTATATTCTTATTCTTATGGTTATTCTAACATTGCAAGTGTTATGTTACGATTGCAATTATTATATACACACCTTTAATTATTATATAGTGTATAGATAATATTACGGATGATGAGGATAAATGAAGCAAGCATTACGAAAAAAAAATTTGCAGAAAAGGAAAATCCAACCAAAAAAAAGAAAAAAAAAAAAAAACTATGGAGAATTAATCACATGTGCATTTAATGTATTTCATACTAATTTTTTGATTAAACATAATTGTGTGTTAACCGAGCCGTCTATCTTTCTTTTTTTTCTTCCAGATCATTGTTCTTCTCCCTCCTGCCCGTTAACCGCCGTACGCTGCCCGACGACGAACGAACTTTAATACTAACACGTACGATACATCCGTCCATAAGTCACCTTGTTAACTTTGTTAACTTTGAACGTACGATGTTCATTAACCCACCCCTCCCTCGGAACGTGTGCGGGTTGTAACGTACACGACGTTTATTTTGTTTTTCTAATTCTGAAAACACATAATGAAAATTGCGAGTTAGCTCTGCGTCGCAACGCGTCCACTATAATGTGCATACGTGAAAAGAACGAACGTACGCAAATGGATAAATTTGTACTTTTTCACGTTGATTTTCGTTACTCGGGTCTTTTTCGTGACCGTTTCTTTGCTTCTCTTTTCATTTAAATAAAGTTCGAAAGAATTCTTATAATACGTACGTGATTGACTAACCTCGGAAACTGGAAAATAATGCTACGATTTTTTTAAACAATTGACACTTGTGTATATTTCACTCAAAATTTTTTCTATCATCATGCAAAAGGTTTATTACTTTTTAATTGTCGTTTATTTTTAGATACGATCTCGTAACTTTAAAGTAGCTAATAAAAATTAGTAGATCCTTTATTAGTAGTAGTTAAGAGACTATGAATTCCCACATTTTTTAGGTCAAAACATATTTTGATACTGGAATTGTCAGACTGATATCAAAACGATCAATTTGTAAGTTTTTTTCTTCTTCTTTTTTGCAAAAGTTTGATAGATTTCATTTGAGGAGATTTCAACGATCCTTCACAAAATATATACAAATGAAAGCTTCCGTTCTTTATTTCCATTTCTCTGATAGAAATTTTATATTTCAGTGGTCGGTAGTTGATACGAGTCGTTAATAACTTAATACCTATTAGAACAGTGTCAGATCAAATTGATCCAGCTTTCGAGGCTTAATCAGTATCGATTTCATTTACTTGTTCCAATTCTGTATATTTCACTTGATAAACGAGGACTTATGGACAGTAGTGTATATAATGTACAAAATCGAACATTTATCGTAGAATTACGATACACCTTACTGCGTATACATTGTGTGAATTATATAAAACATTTTGGAATTTTATTGGTACCATAATGAGACACGACTATTATAATGATGTTGGCAAAATTTGTAAATTGTGTATTGCGAACACGTGAATAATAAGATTCATCGACTTATTAAAGACCAAACAGTAATTTGTCAGAGTATTACAAATTACTTTGGTTTCTTTAAATTTCAGAAAATTATAAAATCCAGATGAAAGATTGCGACATTAACGAAACAGTGGTTGACCGAAAGGAATCGCAAATGAAATATCGTTGGTCCTTAGTGAATATTTAAATACTTTTATCATCTGTCATATATATATACTTGCTAAAAATTACATCCTCTGAAATTTCAAACGTGAATAGTCGAGTCTCGTTGCAGTGCCAATATCACTTGAAAATAATCGGCTTCAAACTTGACTAATCGTGATCGAAAATGTTTCACGTGTAGAACGCACGGCAAGTTCATAAAAAAGACAAAAGAACGATTCTTCAAATATTTTCAGCTCGGCACCCAAATATCACCGAAACATCAATAATTCGAAAACTTGCTTTCCAGTCAAAACGGAGAGAAACGAGACGAAAGAAAAAAGAAAAAAAAAAAAAAAAAAAAAAAAAAAAGAAAAGAATGAAAAGGAAAAACGAACGATCGTCGATCATCGATCATCGTACGGAGGTTAACGGAGTCGCAAGTGGGGCAAGTTAAACCATCGAGCATCCCCGAATCATCGTTATTTCTGCCAGCTATGATTTACTGTTTACGCGTTTGCGAGCGTTTCTTTGCTCCCCTCGAAATGCAAATTGATACAACGGACGATTGTTTGGTGTGGAAACGAGGGACGGATCGATCGGCGCGAATATTAATATACGACACCGGTGCAGATCCGCAATAGAAATATTTTTAGAATTACGAAGACACGTTTTCAACGTGTAACAACGATCGATTAATTGTTTGCGACACGTCGCGAGAGAGGATGAGCAAAAACGAAGGACGTAGAATCGGTGTTATGATTGGAGCGACAACAGCAATCAATCAAGCGAGCAACGGAAATTCGCGAATTGGCGAATCCTATTTGTCGAAGATTTGCAAACAAATGGTTCAAAGTTGGTATCAGTGACACCGTGACCGATTATCTCCTTGGAAGGAGAAACAGTTTTGACAAGAAGGGCGTACAACGTATCCGTATGTAAGTTAGAACTCGCGATCTTCTCAAGAGTTCGAAAATTCTGGCAACTGCTGTGCAGTTCTTTTACCGGAAGTTCCGTCACGACTCTTCTCGTCCCCCACTCCAGACGCCCTTTTTTATCACAAAATTTTCCTAAATATTTTCTGAAACTTGCCAAGTTTGCCAGAGAAAATAAACTTTTTGTTTCATGAATCGTGGAATGGCAAATGGCGATCAGGCTACCGATCTCTTCCAACGATCTCAAGATTTCTAACCTAAATCTCTCCCAGCCTGACTGACCTTTAACCTTTAACTTCTAACAGAGTTGGCGCGTCTTTGGGGAACGATCGATAGGGAACAGTTTCATTCCGCTCCCTGGTTGGAAGCGTTTCATTTTCAGATCTCTGTCGGCGCGCGTTGTCGATCGATCGTCAATTTTCAGTTGGCCGAGAAGCGTCACCGATGTCGTTGCTGGTCCCTCCCTCCCTCTCTGCCTCGCGTGTCTGCCGATACATCCGGCCGTTGTCGCCGGATCCGGCGGTCATCCTGTATCGCCGTTAGAAAAAAAAAAAAAAAAAAAAAAAAAGGGAAAGAAAGACTGGACTATCGGGCCGCGTTCGATACTATCCGGCCGACAATTTGTCGGTGATCGGATCCGTTCTCTCTGCCAATTCTGACGACGCGATTACCGACCGATCGTCACGCCGGCCAATTTTTTCCTTTGTCAACCGATGTCGCCTCGGTTTTTATTTTCTCTTCTGGCGAATCCTTCCGTGGCAGAGATCCTGCTTGGCTCAGAGATCTCTGCGATTCCTTTCGATCGATTTGACGATCCCTTATTAATCCCTTGCGCTGGCAACTGGTTGCGCGGACCATAACGAGTGACTAAACCGTATACAATAATTCGTCGCTTTCTTTTTCTTTTGAACTCGTGCCGATATGATCTCACTGGATAGAAATTGTTAAGAGGTAATAAATTTATCAATTGTTTTGTCCGAGTTACATTTAAACTGAGAAAATGTCGCAATTTTGCAGCGCAAAGGGTTAAGCATGAGAGAGAGAGAGAGAGAGAGAGAGAAAGTTGTTTTTTTCATGTTTTTGCAGCGTTGCGATTTTTCGTTTCTAAGATTTCTAAGGTTAAAGGGGATTTAGCCACGTGGATTTGGAATAATCGTGAGAGCGTTTGGCGAATTGGAGCGATCGTTTCTCGAGCTGATGCAACGAGCTGCCTTCCATTTCCATTTGATTTAATTCCAACTGTGAAAGTGAAGCGTGAAAGGATTAAAAAACGAGAGATTGATTGATCATCTTTGTCAAATGTATGTACGTGCCTTTGAATTGACAGATATCGCATGCGATGATAGTTATCGTTATCGTGTCAATTTCACTCGCAATCTGCAAAACTCTCAAACAATTCAGAGTATCGACAGCGCAATGTAAGCGCTCTACGTTCTTGTTTTTGCTTGTAATTGTTTTCAAAGAAATATCCAGTTGGGTATTAAATTCCACGTTACAACGAAATTACGTTCCAGCATTCTGGAAATATCTCGAATCGAGGAAGAGTGTTGAAAATCGATCTGTCTCGACGTTGGTAAATTGTTTCAGAGCCGGCGAAGGTCTCTCCGCGTAATCGCGCTGAAAATTGAGAGAAATCCTCGATACCAGAGGCTCTCTCCGAACGGAGAAACGCAACAAGTTAACTGCAGCGATTCAAAGCCGGCAACAGTCGGTCGAAGTCTGGGCGGACCGCGGCGAAAGACCCGCGTGATACCTTTCCGATCTGTTCCGTGAAAAACGGCGTGGAGCCTGGTTCTCAAGGCGAGATAAAAGCCATCTCGAATTAATTCGATTCGTCGGCAGATCGATAGCCTACTCTGAATTTTCACGCGCTCATCGAACGTTCCGTGCGTGTTTTCCGTGCGGGACGAGAATCTTTGGCATTTATTAGCAGAATTTTACGTTCCGGCGTTCGCCATTTTGCCAACGTCCGGGATCGGCAGCATGTTTACGATCAGACAAATTTTCTTATAAGATACGACACAGTTGCAAACACGTTCCAAGAGTTGCGACGACGTAATTAGAGACGTTCGCTCCTGAAACTCGATCGTTGGATATTTTCGAACAATGCAAGTGCAATCACGGATTAAGAAATGATCGACTGATGTACTTAAACACTGCTTTGGTTGAGTAAATTTCAAGTTTGGATCCGTTTTTTTTTTCACACTTTGCTTCATCATTTACGAAATGACTGTTTTCTAACTTTTTTTCTGCTTGGCGAAAGAATGCTCGAGAAATCTCTAAGAAGTGATTTTAATTCTTCAGATTAAAAAAAAGAAAAAAAAAATGGCGAGGAATTCTTCGATTCTTCCTGCCTCTGGAAGAATTCCAACGTTCCAATTTCTTTGTCGCTGCGAAATGAAACTATATCAGAGAAGGCGAGCTTCCCTTTTCTGAGAGAATGCTCAGACAATTCTCTCCCCATTTGAGAGAAAATTTGTAATTCGTGTATAACTTGCCCCTTCCACTGGAAAATTCCGACGTTTAACGATATATAAAGCGCAACGACGAAAGATTCCGACACCTCGACCCGCCTCATCCCCCGCACGAAGCGGCCTCTGCCTCGCGAACGAAACTACGAGATCCTAAACACGCGAGTCGCAAATAGATTTTCAACAAAACCAACAAACACGAGTTGTCCGTATCCGTTCCCTTCGAGTGAACACGCGCAGCCTTACACGCACACGTGCGCACGC